TCATGCTCTGCTCTCTCTGCCAGAAAACTCTATCTTTTGTGAGCTAGGAAGCCTGCATTTCGTTTGGCTCTTGGACTGCAAGTCATGTAGCTGGCCCTGACTAATAGGGGGATCGAGTGAGGCTATGTCAGTAATTTATTCAGCAAATGAGGGGGCCCTGGGGACACGGTGGTGTGAGCGTTGGGCTGCTAACAAAAAAGGCCAGCAGGTCAAACCCACCAGCCTCTCTGTGGGAGACAGATGAGATTGTCTGTCTGCTTTTATCAAGATGTGCAGCCTCAGATACCTGTGCGGAACGGCTCTGCTCAGTCTTGTAGGGTCACTGGTATTCAGCAAATAGGCATTGACGACTTCTTCAGGAGGTGTGCCCCTCAAGTGTTTACTTTTATCTTCAGCCCAGAGCTCGTACCTGACTGCAGTCTGCCTGTGCTAGGACTCCACTCAGTAGTTTTGCCATTGACCCAGCCAGAGCATGTGTCCCGATCACCTCCGTTGCTCCCCTTTGCACCCTCTCCTTCTCATTTCCTAGGCAGTTAGTGGCAGCCCCACCCCCAGTTGTTTAGGCCTAAAACCTCTCTCTCTCTTTCTGAATATCCACTGCCTGAGCAAACCCTATTAGCTTTGTCATTAAAGTACAGGATCGGTTTCTTCCCACGCCCATTCCACTTACACCCTCCTGGCTATCACTGAAGCACTCTCCACAGTGGGCTTCTCTCTCTGCCTCTCCAGACCATGATGCCCCTCTGCCCACAGCCCTTCTGTGGTTTCTGCCTCGGTGTGAACATCACTGAGCTTACCTCTAAGGCCCTGCCTGGTAACAAGAGGCACTCCTTCCTGCCCCCTCTTCACCTCCTGCTCACCTGGCCTCATTCTCCTCCTGTCCTGGTGCATGCTGAGTGCCTTTGCACCTGCCGTTTCTTCTGCACAAATGCTTGTCCCACGGATACTTCTGTGACCTGCTTCCTTTTCCTCTTCAGGCTTTGCTCAAGGAACCCATTCCTGACCTCTGTACCACTGTCGCCCCTGGAGCCACACCCCCACGCCTCCTTCCCGGCTTTATTTTTCTCCTGGCCTTGTGTGGGCATCTCACTTAGTCATTTCCCTGATTGTGCGGCTTTGCCCTATACTGTATCTCACAGGACGAGGCGTTGTGTGTGTCTTGTTCCCTGCTGTGTCACCAGCATCCATAACAGTGACCTACAGAGAGGAGCCGAGATCAGTGAATCAGTACTGGGTGCCAGGCTGTAGGCCAGAGAGAATCATCAGTCAGGCATGGCCCAGAGCAGACATTGCACATCTGATAGCGCACGCCTGCTCATGGGCCAGTCTGGAAGGGTGATGTCTTTGTACCTTCGGACTGGAAGTACCAAGGTGAGATGATGCCCATACTGAGGCCTGGAGGCTGAGCTTTATCAATGAGAGAAGAGCAGGGGATGGTATACCTGGAGGGCAAAGTACCCCGTGCAAAGGCAGATACGGTGCAGTGCAGGCATGGTGGAGAATCCAGGGAATACAGAGTGAGGGTCGGCTCAGTGGAGGTTCCTGGGGTAGATGCACATGCAGTTTGCTCACAGCTGCTCGCCTGAGGGTTGGTGGTTTGAACCTACCTAGTCGTTCCCCAGGCGAAGAAAGGCCTCGTCTGCTTCCATAAAGATGGCAGCGCAGAAACCCCACGGGGACAGGTTTGCTCTCTGACACGGGGTCACCAGGAGCCAGAATTGACTCCATGGCGGCGAGTTTGGTTTTGGTTTTAGTTTTCGGTGGTAGAATCCCTGCTTTCCACGTGGGACCCTGAGCTCCAGTCCCTGGCCAGCCTGCCTCCTGCCTGCGCAGCACCGCAGGCTGGTGACCTCGGCGCGCGTGTTGCTGTGATGATGCGCAGGTTCCAGTAGGCCTTCTGGGCTAGCAGGCACCTGAGAAGGAAGACCCGGCGATCTACTTTTGAAAAATCAGCCACTGGAGACCCCAAGGATCCCAGCCCCATCCTAGGAAGATCTGCAGTCCCCCACGGGGGTTATTCCCTGCAGTCGCTCACAGAGTTTCATTCCGCTGTGCATGGGGCCAGCACAGGTCTCTGTAGACTTGACAGGCACTAACAACAACAGCAGCTTGGCTGGGCTGGCACTCCGGGGGAGCAGCGCGAGTGGAGCCAGGAGAGGAAAGGGGAGTGTGATTTGTGGTTTATACTGGGGGATTTGACCTTCTCCAGAGCAGGCTGGGAGCCTCCCCAGACCGTGCATGGCCTGTCTGTATATAGAAGGCCAAGTTCCTGGTGCATGGGGCTTGGGAAAGGCAGGGGGTGGTGACTTAGGGGTTGTCATGGGAATCTAGAATCTCAGAAGAACTTAAGCAGCGCTTAAGGTGAAGCAGCAGCACAGGAAGGAGAGGAGTGGGTGGATTCAGAAGACCTCAGGGCCTCTTAGTCCCACGGGGTGCTAGCATTCTTTCTGGGTTAGATGCACTTATTCCGGGAGACGGGAAGACAGACTGGCAAACTTTGTGTGGCTTTGATTCTGCATTGCCAGAGAAAATGTCTGCGGTCTCTAAGGTCTCTGATCCAAGTGTGTTTGGCTCTAGTCCCTTTGGCTATATAGATGTGCCCCTTCGGAAACAAGACCGCTTTGTACTGTTGCTGTACTGTCACCTGGCTCTTAGGGCCGTATGAAATCGGTCTCTACAGAATGTGCTAGTGTTTTCCTAGTTCCACAGAACACTTTATACTTTGGCCAAAACGTCCTGCTTCCTGGTGCCTATGAATCTTCCCGTTCACGCATAGGAGCAAATCGTGTATTTATTCTGTAGTTTTAAGGATGAGTAGACAATCAGATTGGTGTTTTCTGCTTTGGGGATTTTGGTTTCAAGCTTTAAAGACATTTAGCCATCTGTTTATGGCTTTAAAGTGAGTGTTGTAAGTGGAGGCCATGAATAAATGTGAATTATGAAAGCTGTATTGAGGAGGCTTGTCAATATGAATTGCCACCGACGTCTTCTCGGCTGCTACAGGTTTTAGAAAAAGATGCCTGGCGTAAAGTAAGCAGATCGTATTTATAAGGAATTGGAAAAATAGCTAAATGTATCCCAAAATATCGATGGATTTTTATCTGGATGACATCTTTTAGGAGGGCATTCTAGGGTATAGAGTTTCTTCAACAGCATTTCAAAGAATCCACTCTCAATGCATCTGTACTTGCTGTCTTCATTTTACAACATTGTTTGGATAAAGAAACGGGGTGGTGGGGTTCTTACTAGGCTTTTACAGAATAAGTTGAAATTAGTACAAGTATTTTTCTGATGCGAGAGATGATTACATCCCTTCGACGTCCGTTAGTTATTCTGGAAGAGCGTGAACTGTCTTCCTTCACCCCTGGTGGGCAGCCAGTGGTTCCCGAGATTTCTTTCCACGGGGGTTTGGTTTCCTGATCGTAATGTGAGACGATTCAAAGAGTTCTATAGTTGGGTACATATTTTAAAATAGAATTAAACAGCAATTTTCAAAATGTGCTTTTGCTCAGTATTGAGCCAAGCCAGTTGGAAATAGCAGTTGGAACAATGATTTCATTTGTCAATATTTATTCCTTTTACTTGTAGCTGAAATTTAAATGTAAATAAAGTGAAACATGAGACCATTGCCATTCAGAGAATGGGTGGCAGTGTTAGGAAGTCACGGAATTGCATAACTTAATATTGTAGCCCTGCAGCAAATGCTAATCCATCTTGACCTTGGGGTGTACTTGAGGTTGTTCTCTGGTAATTGCGTCATCCTGACAATCAACAAAGGAAACCAGCAAAACAAAGGAGAATGATATGAGAGCGTTTAGAGGATCTTACTCCGGGCGATGTTGACTGTCGTCTGTGAGTGTGTACCAGCTCACCTTCCAGCCGTCTTTGAACTGAAGACGGATCTTATAGGCAGATCCGTATTAATCCTGAGCAGCTTTTTCTTATTTTACCCCTCATGTAAAAAAATCTAAGCAGAACTGCATGCATTAGTAATCACAAGATGTCTCCCTCTTTAATGTCACAGATTGACATGTATTTGTGTGTGCATGTCTGTGTGTGTGTGTGTGTGTGTGTGTAGTAAGCCTAATTAATTCATCTCTCCACAGAAGGTTCTAGGATTCTGTCGATGTTGAGAGCAGTGTATTATTTAGTTCTAGAAACCGTTCTCTGCACTTTTGGAAAAAGTAACCTAGTTGGGTGACAACTGCTGCCCGAACGCTTCTTCTGTGCTGGTTGCTCCACGCTGACATGGGTGCTCGGGCCATGTTGCTTTTACGTAGCTTCCAGTCTTTGGATTTGCCAGCAGGATTTTGGCTAGGGTTTGAGGCAGTGATCTGTGGGCAAGAAAGTGCATAGGAAAGATGGATGTTATTCATTCTTTATTTTAAAAACAAATAAAAGCTACCCAGTAAACATTGACAAGTAAGAATTTAAGAAGCTATAAAATAATAGTAATCATGACTGAGGAAAGAAGACATTTCTGCATGCCAGAGTTCTACCAGTTGTATTGTCTCTTACGGTATTCTTGTCAATAGTTTTCTAAAATCAGTCTTAGCTACAAAGCTAAGCTATTTAAGATTTCGGGCGTTGGAAACATGTTTATGGACCATGGTGAGAGGTAAGAAAAATTTCCATGGTGAAATACAAGGAAAATCTTATATTTTCATTGATGTAATAATCTTTTATGATCAGTTAGGATTTGGGTCCCCCCTGCCCCCCAGTAGGAACAATACATTGGCATGCTGAGTGTTTGCTCCAGTGGACTGGCCACCCCCTCCCCAGTGTTGGTGCTCCCTGAAGTGCAGCGTTGGTGGATGGGCGGCACAGCCGGGATGCTTGCCTGCCAGAGCTTTAAGAGCATCTTTGGAAAAAGGCACCACTCCTTTGTATCGGCTTCTCGGGAAGGGAGAGGTTCCAGCAAGCTAGCATTTGCAAGCAACTATGTCCTCTGAAAATTAAGGGTAAATGGTGTCTTTCTGTTCTTTTTTCCTCCTTTTCAGATTTTGGGGTAAGTGCATTCTTAGCCACAGGGGGTGATGTTACCCGGAATAAAGTCAGGAAAACTTTTGTCGGTACCCCATGTTGGATGGCCCCCGAAGTCATGGAACAGGTAAAAACTAGACTTATCTTCAATACACTCATCTTTCATTTAAACCCACGGATGTAGTATAGTGCTTCGTGTGGCTCCGATCCAGTTCCCGCCTGCTAGCGCTTGGCTTAAACCAGAAGCAAAGTTGTGAATAGTCCTGGACTTTCCCTCTTAACCCGGACCTTGTGATCTGCACCCTGCCTGGTGTGTAATCTGTGCTGTGTTTTCTGCTCCCTGTCTTAGGTGAGAGGCTATGACTTCAAGGCTGACATGTGGAGTTTTGGAATAACTGCCATTGAATTAGCCACTGGAGCAGCGCCTTACCACAAATATCCTCCAATGAAAGTAATGACGGTTGGAAATTATATTGTCTGATCTGAAATATGCTTTAGAGGAATGTGTTTCCCTGATACTCTCTGTTTAATTAATTCTTTATTGATCGATTTTTTTAGTTAAAATTTAAAAAAAAATCATTTTATTGGGGGCTCGTACAATTCTTGTCACCATCCTTCCATCCATCCATCCATCCATGTGTCAAGCACATTTGTACATTTGTTGCCATCATCATTCTCAAAACATTTGCTTTCTACTTAGCCCTTGGTATCAGCT